CCTTTACAACCCGTAATATCCCGTCTTTCAGTAAACTTCTTGCGTCTAACAACATATTTCTTTGCGAAAGGAACCCATTAAAATATATAACCTCATTATATTATGCTTTATAGTTAGATATCACACATAATTCGTGGAAGTGGTTAACAGCAAAGATTGACTTAGTTACGGAGTTCTAAATTAATTTGCTAAGCTTCACCGGAAAACACAACTAATTGCTAATAACATTGGAAAGTACACTAACAAGAGTTTGGGGTGTAGACTGCTGCCGGTATCCGGATCGTTGTTGTTCGTCGAGGGTGCGAAGACAACTGCAAAAAAAAATTAGAAATATTAGGTGCTATGGTGGTAAAGTTTTATTATGATGAGCTTTCTACGCTATTTCGCACTCGTTAAATAACCAGTTGCTCGCAGTTCACGACCGCGTTGTAAATAAGCTCGTAACAAGGCATTCCGTCGCGTAAGGGATTTCGCATTAATCTCCCTTCTCGAGAGCTTCGATTGAAATTTCTTTCTCATAAGTTTGTTCCGGAACAAAGATGTACAAGTTTAGCGTGACGGACGAGAGAGGAGGAAATTGACTAACAGCCAAAATACACATTGAGTCACAAGAAAAATGCAATAAATAATTGACACGAACGAGATACCTAAAGAACACATTTTACGGATACGTGACAAAGGGGTTGTTTTAGCTGCACATTCACTGGCTTTCCAATAGAAAAATGTTCAACAAAAAGGTAACTGGATTTTGACTAATAAACCATTCACCGTTGCGAGAGTAAAAATCAAAACTCCTATTTAATGCGCTAAGGAATCAGCCAACCCCGTTAAAGGCCCTATTATAACAAGCTTAGCCAATTTGCTAAAAAGCTACTTCAAATAGATATTTTAAAATATATTTTCGAGGATTTTCCGAGGCAGAAATTGGAAACAGCTTCGTTAAACAGAATGGTAGCATTAAGTCTCGTGAAAGCAAATTTATATTTATACCACCTACTTCCATTTTAGAGACAGACTTCTTAGATCTAGTTGCAAAACTCTAATGGTTAATTTTTGGGCACATGCAGCAGAAGATTGTCCCTATTAGACATTGTGTAAATTTTTTTCAAATTTAGTACAAATCACTGACACAATTTATAAACGCCACAAAGAAATATGGATTTGGAAAGTTGGGTTTCCTTTACCTTAGTTCTTTCTTTTGCCGCTAATCCCAATGTACTTTTTTTGTGTTTTCCCTCTCCCTAGGTTTTGTTAAGTTTTGGCGTGTGCGTTGGTTATTCCTTCAGTTTAAGTTTAGCACGCCATTTGTTGGTGTGATACTTTTTCTGAAGTTACCTTTTGTGTTGTTGCTTGATGCTTCATTGACGCTTTTTGCGGATATATTGACAAGTTCTACAACCGTTTACGGTATGTACCAACAGTGCGTAATATCATTGACTTTGAATAATGGTTTACTTTATGCTTTTATATAGATCCGATTTGTACAGACAACTCGTGTCGAGTAAAAATTTTGCTTTTGCTCCTTAAGTGAATTGAATGTTATATTTTTGTGTCCGAATTACACGAAGTAACAAACGTTAATTTGCCTAGGCCTTTATATGCCGCGCTATTCCTACTCCTTCTTGTTTTGTTGTTGTGCTTTATCTGATTGCAGATGATTAGCAGAGAGCGCCCTTCTGAGCTCAGACGGATTTGGCCAAAAATTTCAAAGGTAATATTTTCATTTCGTCGAAACTCCGTGAGTGTAACGTTTGTACGCATCTTGATCATCCATACGTCCGAATTGTATTAAATATATTTTTTGTGATAGTCATTTAAAGAATTTCCTTAATTATTTTTTGACTACGGGTTGATTCCTTTTTGAAAATTACTTGTGAATTTAAATTTTCATTTTTAGTAAAACTCGTATATTTTAATTTCCACGTTTGTAAACAATTAGCTTTATTTTATATTGAATTCAATTGCCATCGTTTTCAGGTTTGGTTACAGTTATTGTTATTATCAATCCATTCATTTTCTTTGCCCTTTTAGATTTATCAAGAACAGAACAAAGATCGCTGAGTCTACCTTGTTCCCTCTCAGTAAGTATTTTCGCACTTTTTAAAATTTTATATAAGACTCAGTGGGGCCTATCCAGTTAACTTATTTATTTTTGCTTTGTTAACTAACCGTAGAAGAGAACCCCTTAATCACCCAGACCCATCTTTGCTTTCCCTGACCCCTACTTTCTTTTAAAGGCTCTTGAAATCTCTTCGATACACTTAACAATTTAAAAGCTTTCCAAAGACGCTCCACTCTAACTTTACAAAGGTTGCGAGAGAAACGTGAAGAGAGCGTCAACAAAATGTAAAAGAAGTGCGAAGGCGGGGACGTAAAGGAAGAATGCATGCAGTTATTTATTAACAGATTTGTGTTTCCCAAGGTTAAACGAAAACGAGCATTAGAGTTGCAAAGTCGTGCAGATTATTTAATTATCGTAGACCTTTTACGATTGCCCTGAAATAATTCCAGGTAACAGGCATTACTGGCCTACCGAATTTGGAAATTTTGATCCGGCGATTTAGTTACGTATAATTAACCGTAGTTAATTTTGAGTTGCAGCAAACCTCGTCTGATTGGATTGCGTCTTGTGCCATTATGCGCGCCCCCTTAATTAATATAGATACAGATTGCTAGGACGTCAGGGGACCGCACATTTAAAAAGAGAAGTTTTAATTTTTTTATTTAACGCCCAAATACAAAAAATACTTTAGTTTTTTGCAACTTTTATACGCTAAAACGACGAAAAGTAACTTTTTTCTCTGCTACGATTCTTGTAAGATCTGCACTCCTTTGCAGAAAAAGAAATTAAAGAGGAAAGGCAAATTTGGGACGGTTAGGGAGGTACAAGGCGCCGCCCCGACCATTTGGAAGCTTCGTAATAATAATAGCTTCCTGGAAATAAACTCTTAGCGGAAAATAAACAACAATTTCCTATTCACTTTTACTTAAAATTCGCTTAATGCCTCCATATTAAATACACAAAGGGATGGGTAGACGAAGGCAAAGGCAAAGAGAGCAAATCCTTTTTTACTCCGCAATAAATAAATATTTTTTTCTCGTATAGTCGAAAATCGATACAGCGATAAGGGAAGTACCCACAAAAATAATGTACTATTTATGCAACCAGATGATCCTGAAGTATTTCCGAAAACAATATTTTTACGAAATAGGAATGGAAATGTAATATTGAAAAACATTTAGGAAAATAGAAAAATGTAAATCGCATTTTATTGGTACGCGTTATCCATCAACGTATAGTAATAATAGCTCAAGGATTATTTTATTGCCGCAGCCGAAGAATGTATGCTTTTATATCCCGCACGCACTTTACTGAAATAGATATCGATTAACAGAATTACACTACAGGTGTCGTAAAAACATCGGAGAAAATGTACTGTAATTAGTATTTATAATGTACACAACCTTCTCCGGGACAACATTATGTTATTACCTCGTAGAAATGAATAATGGGATTTACCCATTTCACGCAAGAGAGTGGGAAGTTCATAACCACTTAAACATACCCCACAGAAGACAAAAAATTGGCGAATCAAGAAATTATAACCCCTTACGTAGTCCACGTAAACCTGAATATCAAATTTATAGGATGTACCACGCAATTTGTAACAATTTGTTACAGGAGTTGAACGCCCTTGTTCGTAATATTTAAAATTAATTTCCTACTGCAATGGCAAATTCTTTCTAACAAAAATTAATTAACCGACGGATGGCTCCCAAACAAAGCCTTTACCTGGCCTTTTAATCAAAATGCTTTCTGAATGAGTCCACGCGTAGTTATTAAATATGGCCCTTTCGGACAATTTACCAAGAGCGATTCCTTTACGAATTCTTTGATTACATTCAATAAAAATTCCATGTAATTTTTTTAAGAGTTTCGCTCTTTCCTTTTAATGCAAATTAATAAATGTCAGAATTGGATCTCCTTTGGAGTGTGGAAATGATCGGGCAATGAACCTCGTATTTTTCACAACTGCATTCAAACAAGATTCCCCCCAGAGCTGGGCAGTATTCGATTTTGTAAATACTTTTTAGTATTCAAATCCTTTAAAGTATTCAAATACTTTGTAATTAAATAGTACATTATACCTATATCAAGGTAGAGAAGTACAGTATTATTGCCTGAGCACCAAGATTACATCTCGAGGCGCTTGCGCCGAGGGGTGTAAGGTGCGAAGGCAATAATAGACTTCTCTACCGTGGTATATATACTATTTTTTTCACTACTAGCACTTGAAGTCCTCTAAATTAACATATTATATTGATAAGAAAGTGAACGGTTGGACAGAATTGTTTGTTTCTTAATTTAACATGTCAATCAAGTACGTGGAAGTACAAGTCAAACAGGCCGTATTTTGTTCTGTCATTGAGATATTTTCAAAGAGTAATTTCGTTCGAATTTTTTCAAAATGTGATAATTTTAGGTATGTAATTTCTCTGGAAATGGCGGATGGTGGCAATTATTCGTTTTAGAGAACTTGTCTAAACGTTTATTGAGCGAAATTTCGGGTTGTGTTTTCTAAAAGTGACAGCGTGACAGTTCTCATTATTGACTACTAGTTAATAATGTCACATTATTAACCACTTTGAACAAATGCCGAGAAAGCCTACTTTACAAGTGGAAAAAAGGTTAATAATCATGTCATCAGACGCTAGTAGTGAAAAAAAATTCTTATCCGCTGGTTTAAAAAAGATGCTCTTTTTACTTTTAAGTCTACACACGGGGGTGCGGCGGAATTTTAGGGCGCCCTCATAGCTCAGAGCCCTTGAGGATGTGACCCCCTTTCCCCTTCAGTCTTACTGAAAACTGAGTAAAGTAAAAGATGAGAGAACATAGGTATTTTATGTGAAAATTTCAATCTGTAGGTACTGTATAACAATCAATGAATTCATAAATCACTTCATTACTTACTTATAAGGAAACGCATTGAAACTATTGCTCTCCTAATTGAATATGGTATAATTCACTTAGAATTAACATTACAAGATACATATTTTAATTATATAATAATAATAAGGATACAATCTTTCAGTACTTAAACAATAATTCCAAGTACCATTTGCAAAACAAAATTTGAACACACTGTATGCAAATTGAACATTTTGCTGAAGTACCCTTTAAAATGAAGCAAAAGCATAGAATCAACTTCGAACTCCCCTTCTTGCATCATCCTGTAGAATTATTCGGTCGATTAATAACAATCTTATTAGGTACCAACATATTTTCAACTTCAGTCCTAAAAATAATCAATAGGTTGACGACATTATCGCAAAGGGCATACTCACTTAAGACTCAGCGGTAAAATGGAAAAATCTAATTTATAGTCGTGCACCGCCGAAATACACAACGTTTTCAAACTCGGTTTGAAATCTAGAATGTACATGTCACTGTGATCCGTTAGTTTCTCTTCGACAGTATGCAACCGTGCATGCGTCCGTGGTGTCGGTTTTGGGCTGTAACATCGGACGTTGAGATTGTGACAGTCGAAATGCCGATCTCACCTTGTCCCGCCGAAAAGAAACACCCTGTCGCTGACGACAATGCATGCTTGTCTTCGTCTGCTGCACGGGCCGTTACCTTGCGGTTTAATTAATGTCCATTCGGAAGTGATGGGATCGTATTCGAATAGATCATTGTAATGTTGCAGTTTCAGTGCGTTATAGCCGCCGAAGATATACATTTTGCCGTTATATACAACTGCAAATATGCGATTATTGCTGGGTAGCTAAAGATGTAGACATACAAGCTGAGTGGCTACGTCGGCCTATAGGTTGAGTGCCTGTGGTATGTGGCTTACACCAGGTATGTGTCTGAAGATCCAGGTACCACAATTCATTGCAGTACACCTCCTTTTCGCGCAAGTGCAAGCTGTGATGCAATTCTGTTCCTCGACCTCCAAATATGTACATTCGATCGTTTATGCAGGCTGCGGAGTGGAAGTCTCTCACTGCGGGTTCCAGACCTAAAAAGATAAATATTGTGCAAGGTTTACTAAATTTCGTAAATTTAGATTAAAAAATTGCTCACCTGTTGAGCAACCGCTTTTTTTTGGCCTTTATTTTTGAGTGGTTTCAGCCAAGGCTGCTCTACCAACCCAACCCACTACAGTTTGTATAATGCATCTTTGAACGGCAACAAAAGCCGATCGCTATGAGATGAAATCAATGCAGAAACAGAACACTGCGTCCTTGTCGGCGTCTTAGATCATACGCGATCCATTATACCAACTGTATATACATTTACAAATATCCATTCCTGAACCCAGATTTGAACCAGGGACCCTTAGTACCGCAATCAAGCTTCAACTCAACTGTGCCACACAGGCCGGCTTTGGAAATGAAATGTCTAATTTACACGTGGGAAATTTGATTGGTTTATTAAATTTTCACTTGATTTTAAATTTTTGCTGAACTACCTAGTAGATTTGAAGTTGAGAGCGACTGTATCAAGGTCACAAGAAAGCACACACATTTTTTTGATACGAAGACATCTGGTACTTCAATGTTCAATGATGAAAAAAACATCTTTTTGCCCAATAAAGGGAAAATTTGGGATTAGGCGTTTGTAACAAAACAGCTTTGGTAAAGATTAATGTTAAAGGCAATGGTATAATTAGATCTAAGTGGGTTGTAAGTTTTTTTACTCATCTCCTAGATTATGTATATACAATGATGAGAGAGAGATAATTTGATATTAATGACGCAACATTTTGCAAATTCGACAACTCAAAAACCCTCCATAGGACCACAGGGTGAACCCTAGGATCGGATCTCATAGAGGAGAAAAATATCAAAGATGTTGGAAATAGCTATAAAGTAGTCTCGGCGATAGTGAAGTGGGTACTCTACAATTTTGAACGTAAAATGCCAAAAATACTAGCTAATCTAACTAGAAAACTAACATCTATTTTTGATCAAACCCGGCTTGAAGGGCCAATATTTACTAAATCACATGAACCATACATGTTGCTAAATTTAAATTAAAAAAAACTCACCTGTCCCTGGATATCACAATTTTACACATTCTTTTACTACTCAAAATCTAACATATGGTTTTGACAAATAAAGCAATTACCTGTACTATGAACGTATTTCCAACACATCGTATGCAAATTGAGTATGTGAACCGATCGCGCAAATGTATCGGATTCCTCTTCAAATCCGCCAAAAATGTACATGTAATGTCTCCACACACACGCTGTATGCCCGTCACGTGCCGGTGGTATGGCCCCCGTCGTTTCTGGAGCCGTCCAGCAGTGATACCTCGTGTCCAAACAGAACAGCTCCCCACAAGATTCGTGATCATTGCGGCCACCCCAGATATAAATTTTATCCTGATACACGACCGCGGTATGCCCGTACCTTTTATAAGGAACAATGTCGTCATTTTCAAAGTAGGGCAAGTCGCTCACTGGATGTTTGGTCCACCGGAATGTTGTAGTATTTAAAATGTGCACGTCGATCGAGGTGTACTCGTTGGAACTTTCACCAGTGCAATAACCTCCAAACGTGTAGATTTTGTGATCGACTGTAACCGCCGCATGATTTACTCGTTTCGGGCCCCCTTCGATGTGTGCTATCCACTTCATGTTTTTTTCTCACTGGTTAAATTTCGAATGAGCTTTGCATTATGAAAGGTACCTGTGCTCTAGTTGTCATTCACTGCATCACTGGGAATATCTAAATCTTTTTTAAATGATCTTCCTGAAAGTTGTTTTAAGTGTTTCAAGGTTTAAAATGTAAGTTACAATAATTATTACGTTTTGTTGTTTTGGCAGAGAGTCAAGGTTGAATTTACATCCGGTCCAAGCTCTTAAAGCTGAGGATCTGCATTACACCATCTGTGTATCTAATCGCCCTGTATATTGTACAATGTGGTTCTCACACCACACCCTTTCACAAATCTGAGCTGCGTTCAGGCATCTTTATAGAGAAAATTAAAATACTATATAGATAAAAAAAATACCCCTGGGAAAATAAATTGCATTGTTTTTCAAATCTATTTACTACCGCTTTAAAATAGATTATTTATTTGCACAGGTGCACATTATTGCTGAAAAGATCAATACTGAGATTTCGTGCTTTGTACAAACAGCATCAGCAGCTGCCACTCATTAATTCAATCTTGAAATCATATTTTCCCCTGGAGACCTGTTACCTATTTCCGTTTCTCCGAAAAACAATGGAATTTCCTTGTAGGTATGCGTACCTGAGTAACAATTAACAGTTAAACTTATATATATATACATGGTACATAGGCATCTGTTAATTGTTAATTCATTTTTCTGTGAAGTTTTGCGAATGCATCGATAGTCCACAAAAAACCAAAGAAAAATAAATTATACAGCTCCCCATGACGTCAGATGAAACTACGTCAGTCCGCTACAAAATCTATTTTTTGGCTTTTCCATACATTTACCCAAACGAGGAATTACTTGGTTTTGCAGTAAATGCATCGTCATTCTTATAATTGTTATGACCAAAGGGCTGTTTGTTAGTAGTTGGTCGAATTTGCTCATCAGATTATAACTGCTCCACACTTTATTTCTTGAACCAATAATTTATTATTAATGGGACTACTGTAGGTATACATTTAGGAAATTAAACCAACATTTTGATCTCTCTTCTGGAGAGCATCTGTTCTCAAATGCATGCATTTGGTGCATTTGAGAACATTTAGTCATCGACGCAAGTACATTTCACGAAAAATAAGCTTTCGGACACAACTACTGCTCTTCACTGAAAGAATGAGAAGAACATGATAGTAATTATTTATCCCTTTAAGGTCAGCCGTCGGCGTCATCAAATCCAGAATAGCTGGCCATACACAGAGAGGTTGATTGCCGGTTTAGAATAGCGCAGTTCAAACGTACAGATTTGTTTGTATACGTCTTTCGCTATAAAAACCGGTGCACGTCATTGATTTATGAATCAATTTCAGACAAGTTTTCTATAGATTTCGCACACTTGTTTTTTTTTGTACATGTTGCAGTGTTGCAGCATATGTCTAAAATTGATACACAAATCAATGACGTGCAACGGTTTCTATAGCGAAAGACGTATAAGTTAGTGGGTAAGCGCACGCGCTAGATTTAACAAGTACAGAATTGTGCGTCAGTGACGCATCAAACTGACAGATTTATCTGTCGCAGTTCAAACCGGCGGATCAGCCTCTCTGTGAATGTTTATCGAAAATTTCATTTTCATTACATTTTTCATTTTTTACCCCAATGCAATACCTTCCTTATTAACGAGCGGGTGGTAAAAACGGATCAAATGCATGGTATAGATGGCTACAATAGACAACCAACTATACACGAATTTGTTAATGATAATGATAATTTGTGTCTGCTATGGAAACAGTAACTTGTTAGCCTTTATTTTTATTATTAGCATCAAATTGCGATTCTTTAACACAATATAGCAAAAACAAAGCAGAATGGGTGGTGATTTTTAACGTCCTTGGTGGTAACAGTTAAATACATACAACTCCAGTTTATCGCGTGTAATGTTGGTTGCCTACAGCCATCTTATTCGTGTCCATATCATTGATTACTCAACAACATAATCAATGCTCATATGTATACATTTAAGAAAAATTCCCTGTGTAATACACATACAGTGGTTGTTGTTTAAACCTTTGAATTAGAATAATAAAGTCTGAAAAGTGTTATTAGACAAAGGGGTGTGACACGAATATATGGGTACTGTGTGTTGCCTACCCAATTCCATAAATGCATACCGCTAAACCCAAATTTTTATCGATCATTGTTCCCGTTTAAATCGAGGAATCGGATGTGGGCTGCCGATGCCGACCACGTGGACAACATTTTTTATTGTCCGGTTTTTTATCTGCGGTACTAGAATGATAAGTCTAAACACATTTAAGGGCCATTATTGAGGCAAATGTGATAAAGTTATTTGTAAATCTTAACCGGTTTCTTGAATTATCAGTTGAACTTCAGTATAGGCACCTGTTTGTTTCATTACAAATAATTTGTCACATATATCACATCCTTCATATCTCTAACCTCCTACGTCTATGGTAAAAGATTAATGTGGACATAATGATATGACGCATTAAAAGTAAATAGGAAGTGTGTCTTATCACATTGCACCTTTTATCGCACGTGAATGTAAGTGGAACAAAAATTCGAAAGATACTGTACATTATGGTTTTGAAAATTGTTGGTAGGGTTGGCTTTGTCACACCTGTTAACCTTATCTCCAAATTGCAAATGGCGATATAAACAATGTAAATTTTTTAATTTAAGGAAAGGTAAGCAAAAACATAGAGAATTAACGTTAAAATAACGCTTAGAGAATGAATATTAATCCATTTATAATTGCAGATTAACGTAAAGGAGACAATAATGTGCGACGAAACTCCTTTGAGACCACTAACAGTAACTACCTATTAACAAAAATATGTTGTATAGTGCTGCATGGCTTTTTATTTCGTTCTTTTCTAAAATAGTGCGAGGTGGTGACTGCAAGTTCAATGCTTCTGCGAAAATGCACCGATTTTGATAGCACGTTGCGGTGTCATTTGATTGAGGGTTGTGGAATGTTGACCTGTGCAACCTTTGAATATCTCTATATCAACATGTTTCGATTTGACTCCTATTGGTGTAATTACCCTCGGTGGAAAGAGGGGGATTTATAACATTATAAGTGATTGGGCTGCGAGTTTCGGTTTAAAACTGTTTAACGACAGTGTGCACATTTTAATTATGACTATTCATTATGGGACCCTTAATCAAGACGTGCATGTAAGTGTGCTTTTTTTTCGTTTGAACGAAGCGGAGACTAAAGATATGTAAATTTCCGAATTTTTGTTATTGTGATAAGGATAATCAGAATTTTGTAATTGCGTTAACACATATCAGAATGTGTGGAATTTTACCAACATGATACATTTATTTAACGGACAGTCAATTGTTAATGCATGCCTACTTTGTGTCAGCCAGTCGGTAAGGTCACTGAATTTTATAGTTTATATAATTGATGGAAATTTACATAACCAGTTATTTATCACCAGCACTGGGCCCTGGTGATTATACGACCTTGTAGGTTTTTTATTAGCAATTCTTGTTTAATGTGTTGTCAATGTTGTGACTAACTGCAATAGTATCTGCCCAGTATGATATTTATGGGTGTCAAGAGTATATATTATACATGTTTTTATAGCCACACGAATTTTTATTGTGGGCAGAACATCAATTTTAATTATAACAGTCTGGCAGAGCTTTTGTGCACGTGATTGAAGTTTGTGTAAATTCTTGAAGTTACACAGAGAAGTTTTATGAACCCTGATTGAAGTCCCTTACATTTCAGAGTAGAATTCTTTCTTTCTTATCTAGTCTAAGTCAACACTTACTATGTCCCCAACTTGCAACTAAGTAGCATAATCATAAATAAAAAATGTTTTTCCAAACCCTCCTGAAATTAATAAAGCCCCTCTACAAAGATTAATTGGTTTTTTGTTAAGACTTTTTCCAAATGTACCAAGAGTAAACATTTGTTGCTTAGGAGGTAGGTAGTTGATGTTGATACTATCCTTCAATTGTTTTTTACATTTATAGGCGTCAAGAGTATAAAATTTACAGGTTGTAATCTATTTTATAGCCGATGAATTTCTCTTGTAAGCAGTAGATCAGAGCAACAATTTTTCATTGCTAAACTGACCATTAAATTCACAATGGGAAGCCTTATGTAGATTTTTTGATGCCGCCTATTGAAGTTTTAATGGAATCATTAAGTGTTCGTGGTAGTCTGTATGGAGTCCTTTGTGTTTCTTTAAATTACACAATCAAATCTGTTACATTTCAAGAGTTAAATTGCATGTTTGCAATCTGAAATTGGCATTTTTACAATAAATCAATCAAATAATGTTTTGCTCAAGCCCCTCGAAGAAGATAAATAGAAATCTTTGCACACAAAAAAAAAACAAAAGTTGGAAACAGTTTGTTTAAACAGGATGGTGCAACCGAATACCTATCGAACAAATTTTTCAGGAAATTTTCCCGATAGGTGTTCTCACACGAGTAGGATGTTGGGCGAGGGTGCACCATCCTGTTGAATCCAAGAGAGTTGCCAACTTTTGTTTTTATGTGCCGCACATCGTTGTATTTGTAATAAAGAATGTGACTATACAGTATGTACTTTTTTGCAGCACAGTTGGTGATGATTTCTCCAAAACAAAACATTGTATGGAAAATTTTTCATAGGTGTCTTCTAGAGCTCTAGAGTTTCCACCCTGTATCTCAGAAACAAAAGTAGCTAGCTAGATTGATTCTGTTTGTGGTACTAAAACTTTCACAAAACAGTGGCAAAGGTGTGCGGAAGTCTCTATCTTTAAAAACAGCTACTGCATAATATAGGACACACTGTACATTTCCACCATAGAATTTCTGGATGAAGTTCCTTGGTCCTAATAATGCAAATTTTAAGAAATGCATGTTTTGTTTTAGTTACTAATTAAAATAAAACATAATTCTAAGTATGTGTAGCAACAAATGGTGGCCATTTTACCTCATACTGTACTGTGTGGCAACGAATTCATTTAAACAAAAAAACATTTTTGGTGCGTTAACTATCTTTATGTGACCTCTCGGAGATAGTACATGCTGAAAGTTGGACCTTTTTGCTTCCATTGTTGTTCGGTGTTTGTATTGGATACTTTTTTAAGATTCAGCGTTACGCCTAGTTGAGGGTACCTAATTTTTGCACTGGATTCTGTTGCAAATAAATCACTAACTGTTTCACAAATTTTATTTTTTATATGAAAATGAAGATGTCGTCTGCATAACGATAACCTTCCCTTATAGTGCAAGTAGTAACCACATTTTTTCCTTGAATGTCTTACATGTTAGGCAACTGAGAACGTTTTTTATATTCATATTTCATCATGTTT